TGAACATCACTCAGACTACTTACCGTTGGGGACGGATAGATAGAGAATTCTAATCTACACTTCTTTTCATATTGCAAGCACAGGTTGTCCATTATCAATGACTCAAAGCCAGAACCCGTTCCTCCACCAAGCGAATGGAAAACGAGGAAACCTTGCAGGCTGGAGCAGTGCTCAGCAAGACGTCTCACCGTCTCCAAGACGTCTTCCAGTTTATCCTGAATTAAATCTGTTCTTCTCCGTTCTTGCCTGTTCACCTACCCGTCCTATGGTGTAGAATCCTCTGGCAAAGTTATTTGCTGCGTCTTCCTTTCCTATAACCATTTGAGTTGGATGAAATAGTCCCTTGTATGGACCAGATCGAACCTGATCTAAACAAACTTTTTCCAGCGGTGTGCAGATGTGGACAATTTCCCCACCTATGACAGATGGCTCAAGGTCTACAAGAGCAGCCCGTGGGGTATAACTACCATTACAAGACTCGGCAAAGAAGGTGGATCTTCCAGTGCTAGGATACTCCTCATCGTCCAACTTCCCGTCCTGCCGAATACCGTGCTCCAAGCAAAACAATTCCCAACAAGCGTTTCCAATCTGCACTCCAGCTTGGCCAATATGTATGGAGATAATTTCACGCTAAATTATTCCATATCAGTGGCTTTCGCAGTCGCTTTAGCAAACCATGGAGTCTGACGGAGTGCTGGAACAAAGTGTTGACTTAAGAAGGACGAGACTGGCTAAGGCGACCGACCTGCTGCAAGAAATAAATCCTCCAGAGCATTCAAGCTTTATATAAGCCCATGAATCGTATCACTATCAGAAGAAGATTTGGGATTTAGAGAGGAAGCATCTGTCTGAGACAATATCGGCATGGTTGTGCATCAGTGGGTGACCCAAATAATAAAACGCTAAATAGTTACAACTCCGTATCATCTTCTCTCCTACCAAAATTTCTCCTGCTTGGTTGTTCTTACTCGCTTGTGGCAGTAGAAATCTGCAGCGATGTTTTCGGCAGCAGAAGCATATGGGGACAACATGGGTTGACGTCGAGAT